CAGAAAGATACTGGCAGAGTGTAATAGAATTATTATAGGTTCAGTATTGTACTTTACATTAAACTCTCTTTATTATATATATATATCTGCCAGGGCTTCTTAGAGAGTATCATGTTCCATTATTTCACATGGTATCAAGAGCACAGAATAAACCCTATTTTTCTCTCTCTCTCTCTCCGTAAACCCTAATTTGCACGCATGAGTTCGTCGGCTACCACTGCCGCCGTCGTCCCCTCCTCTACGGTGGTTCCGTCCACCGTGAATGGGGTCAATTCCTCTTCAACTGCTGCCATCACGACGGTTTCAACTACACCCGTCTCGGTCGGTCAGGCTTTCCCAGTAGGCATGCCGCAGTCATCTTCCATGGAGTCCGGCGTCACCTTCTCCTCCAGCTACATCTCGCCGTCTCGCAGCCTACCCTATTCTCTTTTTCAGAATATGCCACTGACGTTTCCATGGCAGCCTCCCTCTTCGGTACAGCAAGTACCATTGGAGCCACCTCCTTTCGTGGCCAGCTCTTTTTCCGGCCCTACGTTCGTTGGCTCACCAGGGGTATCATCTACTATCCCACCTCTTCAGTCAGCAGCAACACCCATGGTTGGATCTCCTTTGTTTGAATTAGCTCAAACAATATCTCATGTGGCTACGAATGTAACCAATATTGTTACTACAAAATTACAGGTTGTGGAAGATTATACTACGTGGCGAACTCAGTTTGAATCTTTTCTGGTCTCGCAAGGACTTCTAGGCATGGTTGATGGATCTCTTCAGGTACCTCCAGCTTATTCCATTGATGTTCTCAACTATCAATCTCCCAATCCCGAATTTTCTGTCTGGTTGCGAATTGATCAAACCATCCGGTCTTGGTTATTTGCAACTCTTTCTCGGGATATTCTCATTGATGTCAGGGATCTTAAACATTCTTTTGAAATTTGAGAACGGTTAGAATCTAGATTCATGTCTGCCAGTTTGGCTCGGTCAATGGAATTACAACGTTTGTTCTCACAAATTAAAAAGAAACCTGAACCATCCATGGACAATTATTTGCGAGAAATCAAAACCTTGGCGGATGATCTGGCCACCATTAATTGCCCCGTTTCTTCACGTGATTTGTTGAAAAGAACTATTATGGGACTTGGCCCGGAGTATGAATCATTGTTCACCCCGGTGTCTCTCTTCCCTCAAATTTTTCCGTTTGAGACCCTTCGAAATCACCTCTTGGAACTCGAGCAGCACCTCAACTACCTCCGGTCCCAGGAGAATACATCTGTCCACCAGGCCTTCGGTGCACATGGGCCGCAGCCTGTTCAGCAGCCGCAGGTGCATCCGCAGCTTCAGCAACCTGCTGCCCAGCAGCAACAGCACCCTCCGGGATATCCTCAGCGAGGCCGTGGTGGACGTGGACGTGGTGGCAGAGGATGTGGCGGCCGTGGACGTGGACGCGGCCAGCAATCGGGGCAGTATGGCCAGCCTATACTATGGTACCCCTAGCCGGTGGTCCTTCGGCAGGGGGTGCTCCTACTATGGGTACGTACGGTTTTTTGTAATTCTACTGTGTCATATTTAAATATTAATGCCTTACCTGTTTGTGCTACTAACTTTGGTTCGGCAGGCTTATCATCAGATGGGGGTATTCTTGGGGCGGTTCCCCATCCTGTTGTGCGTCAGATTTGTTTTTCTGCAGGTCACTCCGCTATTGTGTCAGAGAGTATCTTGTTCCATTATTTCACAGAGTGATGCTTTACACTGCATCATTTTTTTACTTGGCTGCTTATCACCAAAGATCAACCAAAGAGAGTAAGAGTGTGTTCAAGATGCCTTATCAAATGCTTATTAAAAAAATACTTTGAGCGGTTAACTGAGAAATCTCTTTATACCAATGAACTTAAACCATGTCCATACAAGTTCTAAAGTAGTGATTGTTATAGACACGAAGAATGAAGATCAATTCTAAAAAGAAATAGGTGGGTGGTAGAGGGACATAGTGTCTAGACCAGCCTTAGGTGCGGTTAACTAGTGTAAATTTTAAAAACACTCAAACACGCACAGATTCTTCCAAGTAGAAGCCTAGAACTTACTAGGCGACCCACCCATGATTTTTCTGAACAAAGTTGAAGATATATGATGTCTAAAAATGTAGAGGAAGTAGGGGATATTCTTTGAATACAATTAATATGTGCTACTCTCCTTTTAATTTTGCTATTATTCTCTAGACACTATTTATTAGTTACCAAATACTTGCTAGAGGAAATATGTTAAAATTCTTGCGGAGTTTTTCTCCTTTAGGAAACAGGTTAGAAATCATGTAATCCAAAACTGATGACAAAAATTTTATTATTCAGTATGTTGCAGCTTCTTCCTGGAGAACCATTTTCATGGGAGCAGATAGATGAGTTTAGAGATGCATGGTCTAAATACTTTAGTAATCAATGTGTGTAGTATCATTATATTGTCAGACATGGTTTGTTTGTTTTTTTATGGCTAAGATTTTGGGTATTACTTGCTTTAGTCTTGTAATGGCTTCTTATGTTTTTAGTAAACCTGTATGATTTTAGTACAGTTCATCGTTCTTGTAGTCTTTTATTAACAATTAGCAGTAGTACCCCCTCCATTTAATTAATCATTTGAAATAAAATTTCAGTTTTATGTAATTATGAAAAAACTTTACGAGCCGCCTACTCTATAAAAGCGATGTGTATAATAAATGTACAACAACACTTTCAGAGTCGCCTCTAAAGCGATGCGTAGAAGGAGTTTATAGGCGATTCAAAAAATATTTTTTGTAGTAGTACCAATGTAGGTTGTTGGTATTTATAATAATAAGAATAGTATGATAATCATTATTATGAAATTAGGATAATGATAACAATAATATAACAATATTATAATTATATTTTTAGTTATATTTGTAATTATAGTTATAGTTACAAATTACAATGGTATTTATAATTATAATTTTAGTTTTAATTATAACTATAACTATAGTAATTATAATACATTTATAATTATAATTAAAATTATGTTACAATTGTATATATAATTGTAGTAGTAATTATAATTGTAATTATATTTGTAGTTATAATTAAAATTATAATTATAATTATAATAATTTAATAATAACAATAAACACTAATTACTCCCTCCGTCCTGAAAAGGTTGACCAAAGTTGACTTTCACGTGGATTGATAAAATAAAAACCGTGTGGTTGAAATTTGTGTAGATGAGAGAGAATTAATTTTAGCCACATATTCCTTACTTTAATTGAAAATGACAAATCTTTTTAAGACATTCAAAGAAGAAAATTTGGCCAACCTTTTCGGGACTGAAGGAGTATATCATAAATATCAGATAAGAAGGATTCAGACAAGATTTGAAAGATTTAAACTAGATCAAAAGAATTTAAATAAGATTCAGTGATATCATAAAGATTTAAATAAGATTAGAGAAGTGCAAATCAAATCATATGGGATCTTAAAATATTAAGGAATTATCCTAAATGGGACTAAAAATGGCTAAAACTCCAAACTAGGACTTTAAGTTTTAAATTGCTTAAATAGGACTCCAGATTACATTTTTACCCCTGATCCCAAAATCACCTTTCCCCAATCCCTCTGTCATCGATCCTACACCTGCGATTCAGCCCTCCCTTTCCGGCGCAGCTGCCATGTAGCAGCTTGACCGATTTCGATCGCAACTCAACCGCCATCATTGCAACCACCTGCTCAACGCCGACCACCACCTCTTCTCTCCGGCAAAATCAGGTATTCTTCATCTTCTCCTCCTGCTTCCTCTTCCTCTTCTTTTCTTCTTTTTCTTTTTCTTCTTCTTCCCCTCCCCCCCTCTGTTTTCTTCTCCTCGCAGTTCTCCTTGCACTCCTCTGTTTTCGATTAAAACTTCTTCTACTTGTTTTGAATTTCATATTATTTTAGACATTTTATTTCGAAAATGCCATCATTTAAAAATAATGTCAATTTCATGGCATTGCATTTGTTATGATGACAGTTTTGACCTGTTTGTCACTTTACTCGAAAATGACATGTTAACATCAAAGGCAAAAATATGACATTTTTAGATGCAAAAACATGTCAGTTTTGAGATTACAACATGACATTTTTAGATGCAAAAATGTCATCATTTGTCAAAAATGTCAAAATCATAGTAATTTCAAACATATAATACTGTCATCTCCAAAAATTGCCAATGTGTCTCCAAAAATTGCCAATCATGTGGCTTTTTTAAAAAAGTTGATAGATGAACATAACAAAAAAATTAGACCGAAATAATTTCGAATAATTGATAGAACCGTGAATTTCAAATCCAAATTTTTTAAATAAAAAATACGACTGTAGAAGAAAGGAGCAGAGAACAGAAGAGAAGGAAAAGGAGAAGAGGAAGAAGGAGAAGGATGAAAAGAAGAAGAAGAAATACTTACCTGGAGATATGTCGACCTGAGCAGTGGAGAGGGAAGCAAAGATGACCTGCGGACATGGGAGGCTGTTATGTGTCGCCGGTGTCATGTTTTTTAATTGTGGGCAGTTTAGTCAGATCAGCTTTTTTAGTCCCATTTTTTTATCAATAAAACATAGTAGTCCTATTTTTGCAATTTTACTTTGATTTAGTTCAAATGAACATAACACCATAAAAAACATCCATTATAGAAACGTCACAATTCTATATCAAAACATGTCCTATTTAACAATGTTTTTACTTGGACTGAAATTTGCTAATGTGATATTGTCTGTTTAAGTTTGGTCTAGTCTGATAAACGTCTGTTCAATGTCTATTTTATAACTATGGAAGTCAAGTCTGGTCTGATATGTTTAAATCTGGTATGATCTGGTATATTTAAATCTGATTTGATCTGGTATGAGACTAAAACCAATCCAAATTAAAACATCCTAAATGGATTTTAATCCATTATTACTTAACTTGGGCCTAGACCCATATCCGGCCTGACCTATTAACGATCTTTTTACTAATCTTGGGGCTAGACTCGTATCCGGCCTGGCCTATTAACGCATCTTATACTCGAGCTTTTATTAGAGAAATCTCTTCATTAGAGGCATCGTCACTTTTTTCATTCCCCCCCTGCAAACCCTAGTCATCCTCCCTGTAATGGTGAGTAGCTTTCGATCCTTCCATACACACATTTCCCTGCGATCGATCAATTTGACTAATTTTTAACAATCTTATTTTTTAATTTTGATTAATTTATAACTAATTTTCTACTGTGTTTTTCCAATTTTCGATTTTACGAAGGCTCCAAAGAAGGGTGTAAAGCTCCCAGTTGCTCCAAAGAAGAAGCAGGAGAAGGTTGTGAACCCCTTGTTCGAGAAGCGTCCCAAGCAATTTGGCATCGGTGGAGCATTGCCACCCAAGAAGGATCTGACTAGGTTCGTGAGATGGCCTCAGGTTGTCTGTATCCAGAGGAAGAGACGCATTCTCAAGCAGCGTTTGAAGGTCCCACCTGCCCTCAACCAGTTCTCTAAGACCCTGGATAAGAACCTTGGTCCGTTTTCTTATGACTTGCATTTTATTACCTTCTCAATGTAAATGCCCATGGTCATATACTCATATATACTTACTGCTTTATATATAATGGATATTCTCATATTTCCTTTGAGTATGTTTTTATTTTCGTTGAATATAGGCTTATTTTTAATCTTGAAAACTTATTACGTAGTATTACTTAAAATACTTCATATTTGCTACTTAGTTTGTAATTTATTGAGGATTTGAATTCATATTGTCACCTTGAGCCTATCTGATCTGAAAAGTGTCCACTTTTTGTTCATCAGTTATTTTGCTCCTATCCTAAGAAGAATAAGTACTTCGACTGTGTTAGGTTGAGACGTAATAATAATTGATGCCAATGGTTGTGTAGTGTTGTGGTATATTCATCAATGAAATTTGGTGTGTGATTTTTTTGTTATGCAGCTACAAATCTTTTCAAGATGCTCCTGAAATACAGACCTGAAGACAAGGCTGCAAAGAAGGAGAGACTTTTGAGAAGAGCCCAGGCTGAGAGTGAAGGGAAAACTCCAGAAACAAAAAAACCTATTGTTGTCAAGTTTGGGCTTAAGCATGTCACTTATCTCATTGAGCAGGTTTCAATTCCATCTTGTGTCTTTTGTAACTAGGAAATTCCAGTGAAAGAAAATAGAGAGGAAAATGGAGTGAGAATTTGGAGAGTGAAAATTAGGGAAAGAGTGAAAAGAAAGTCTCTCAAAGTCACTAAATCAATTTTGTATACTTCCACCCCATTTTATTAAATATTTCCACTACTTCTGACCTAACAGATGTCTTTGAAGTTTCAATATTTTTTTTACCAAATGTAATAATCTACATTTTCCGAGATGAGTATTAACACAAATTTCTAGAGTGCTAATTGGCTTTAGCATTGTTTTTAATTTCCCTATATTTTTACAAGCTACTGATTTTCCTCATTGAATTTTTCAAGATAAAAATGAACATGAACTACAGATTTTAAAAGCTGGCTGTTTATTAACAAAATCTAATTTGCAGAACAAGGCACAACTAGTCGTCATTGCACATGATGTAGACCCCATTGAATTAGTGGTCTGGCTTCCAGCTTTGTGTAGGAAGATGGAAATTCCTTACTGCATTGTGAAGGGAAAAGCAAGATTAGGCGCTGTAAGTTTGTATTTGTTTGGCTTCAATGTCAGTTAGTATGAGCTCTCTTTGGATGAATTTTCCCACTTGGCAAAATTAATTTCAGCCAAATATTCTAATAAAAAGCATTCTTGTTATTCTGCTAAAGGGTATATGTTTGTATATGTATCCACTCTTAATTCAGATTGTCCACCAAAAGACGGCATCCGTTTTATGCCTTACCACAGTGAAGAATGAAGACAAGTTGGAGTTCTCCAAAATCTTGGAGGCTATCAAGGTATGAACGTTTGAAAGGGTTTGATTGCATTTGTCACTCTGAAAGTTCCTATAGGGATTCTGTGTTGATTTGCTTTTTTTGTGGTGATGTAGGCTAACTTCAATGACAAATATGAGGAAAATCGCAAAAAGTGGGGTGGTGGTGTCATGGGTTCGAAATCTCAGGCAAAGACCAAGGCCAAGGAAAGGGTTCTTGCAAAGGAGACAGCTCAGAGAATGTCTTAATTTTGTACGAGGATTTTTTAATATTTATTGCAGTTTTCTGTTGCAAGGTTTGGACAAATGTTAAACAGTCTTTCAATTTTGATACGTCTGATTGGCCTTTGAGGTTTGAGTTTTGGTTTTAGTACTATCACAAATCACTTGCAATTTTTCTTTTTTTTTTGCAATTTAGCCTCCTATACTCCTATTTGCATACTTCACAAATCACTTCTTGACATTGCCAATCTGGTTTCAAAATTGTTCCGTGAAACTTCAATCTGTGGAAGGTTGACAATGACTGAAAATAATGACCTGCGTTGTATTATGGAGTAGGAAATTTAGGATCTTAAATTTTGACAAATGTATGTAATATCATATTATATACAATATTATAAAGGAAAAAGAGGCAAATAAGCCCACGTACTAACCAAAAAGGTCAAATAAGCTCTTATATAGGAGGTTTTGTTCGGTTGTCGTCATTTTGGGCGGTTCATGGTCGAAGTTTTTGATGCAATTTTGTGAGTATATTTTTCATTAAGTCTAGTTTACTCATACCAAATTTCAGCTAAAATTCTAATCGGGAAGATATTCAAATGAATTCTTGAAGATAACTGTGCAGTTATCTTCAAGAATTTATTTGAATGCATTCCCAATTGAATTGTTAGCTGAAATTTGGTATGAGTAAATTAGACTTAATGAATAAGATTCTCAAAAAAATTTATCAAAAAATTTCACTGGGAACTGCCCCAAATGGTGACGGCCGGACAGAGTCCTATATAAGGGTTTATTTGACTTTTTTTGGTTAGTACGTGAGCTTATTTGCCCCTTTTTCCATATTATAAACAACGGATGTTAAAAAACCAAAATTTGTGGCATTCTTTGTACGCAAGATTTATGATGTATGCCAAAATGCACACATGATATTTGTTTTGATCGAATTTAGCATTTTTAATAGGTCAAAACGCTAAATTCATGTTCTTGGTAGTTGGTGTGTTCGTGTAACGTTTTCCTCCGAAATGCTGAAAAACTAAACGCTGCAAAGTGGAGCGTTTGCCAAAGTGGTTCTACATACGCATTAATACTCAGTCTTACCCTTCCCTATTCTCCACTTTCGTAGACCTTCCCTTGATCTCCTCCGTAAGAAAACTATCCAAGCTTAGCAAACCTTCCTTGTTTTAGATTGCTCTTCCTTGGCTTTCGTCGCCCAAATGCAAAGCCAACTCCTTCGAGCTCTCGAGTTTTGTTCTCGACTACAGAGAGGCCAAAATTTTGCCGCTCCAGGCTTTGTTCGAAGGTTGTGAAGCTATGAGAAAGGTCATCTTCTCCACCAAGATGGGCCTGGTGTTGATGCTCGTATCCCTGCTCATTTTCTTCAAGGATCCGATGGTAGAGCTCAGTAAATACTCTGCGGGCCATTCTTACTGTCGTTGTAGTGTTCGAGTTCAGTATAGGTACTCCTAATTCCTCTTCGTTTTCACACTTACAAATTTTATATTTTCTCCGTTTGTGTGGAGGAGTTAGCTTTCCAACATTTCTATCCACTGCAAGCATGGGTGGCATGTGAATTTAGAAAAATGAAAACATAGATGGGATGTATGGTTTCAGAATTGTGTAACAAGTTTTTTGTTTTGTTGATTGCCCAATTTCTATTTGGTAAAATGTTTGTTTGGACTTTGGACACCCTGTTTAACTCCCTAGATCTTGCTGGTAGCTAATGTTTGATTAGAGATTCGGAGTATATATATAGGCATAAGCAATCCACATAAACAAAAATGGACTAATCTCTTTTTGTGTCTTTTTATTTATTAACCGCTAATGAAAACAACTAATTTACCAAACATATTCCTGCAACCCGCCAAACTAATTTGCTGGTCAAATCCGCCGACTCAACCCACTATTTACAACCCGCTAACATAATCCGCTAACCGCTAATTGCCAAACAAGCCCATTACCTACCAAAATTTGTCAAAACGCCTAGAAATAATGTTTGTGTATCGAGTTCAAGCAAAATAATGTTGATGATTTTGACATTTTCATAACTTCCGTTTGCAAAATGTCCTCATTTCTTTTACGATTTTTGGGATGTTCTTCCGTTTGAATCACAGAACGTATATTGAGGGGTAAGAATTGAATTTAAATATGATAATAAAAGTTTGGTATAAAATAAGAGATTAAGAGTGTTTTAAGTTAATTGCAAGAATAACTAACTTTGTGATGGGGGTAGTGTACAGGACATCATATTGACAGAAAAATATTACAAAGGGTTAAAAACGGATGTAATCTTGGTGAAAAAACTCTGAGCAGCAGCTGAAGTAATCTTGGTGGCAAAAATCCATCAGCATGACGGGTCATTACCCGCTCTTTCTAAAACACAGACATTGCATCAATAAATAGAATCTACTCCCTATTTTTAACAATAGATGCTGGTTGGTGATGGTGAAATAGGACAATTTGCATTTAGAAGTGCTAATGAAGCACTTTGTTTCTCTTCAGATGAAGCACTGAAGATATATCTTTAGCAGAAGAGGTTCTCAAGTACCAATGTAGATAGCATGAGACTAGGTGACACTGAATTTCGGTGTCACCTTCTTGCCTTGTTTACTCACAATTGAGACTCGAAAGAAGCGGCCAAGCTTCTTTTTTTCCTTCGGAGTAACATCTTTACGTGCATTCTCTTGTCCATCTCTCAAATTCAACACACTGCCTGACTTGCAAAACATTTGGGAAATTGACCCTTTCTGTTTTCCGCTGCTCTTCTCTACGCACACCGATGATTCCCAGGAATGCAGTTTTCTACTTAATATCTGTCCTATTGATAATGTCGACTGAAAAACAGTTGGTGGTGGGTCATTGCCATCGACAAGAGGAAGACCCTTACTAGAGTTCTTGAATTTGGTTGGGTTTTTCACAGAAGACTTTGTTTGACCTTGGTCAGATCTCCATTTGCGCATAGCCTCCTCAACTTCTAACTTAGCGCGATTGGCAGCCTCAACTCGGCTAAGTGCCTCTTCTAACGCAGCCTTTCTTAACATAAGCTCCTCTGTGACTTTCTCAACTTGGGTTAATGTTTCTGTTTTCGAGACATTGGCTTCATCAACTTGAAGTTCGGTACTAACAACTCTCCTCTTAAGTGTTTCCTCTGCATATTGAGCTTTTCTGGTCAATGAAGTGTATTCCTCGACTGTAAGGTTTATTCCTTCCTCTGGTTTCATCTCATTGCTCTTTAAGGCATTGATTTCGGCACGAACAAAAGCCTCAGTGGCCCTAGAAGCTTCTTTAATCTTTTTAGCTGCAACCAATCTGCTCTCGGCAGTCTTAATCTTTGACTTTGTCTGTTCAATCTCACACATAGCCTTAAGAACCTCTGATTTTGTCGCTTCTAGAACCTTCTTGAGATGTTCAGCCTCTGAACTCAGCTTCTGAATCTCCCATGTGGCGTGAAGCGGGTCATTATCACAATCTTTGACTTTTTGGTTCGTTTCACTCACCTCTTCCTTGAGGGACATGACTTTCATGGAACTCAAAACGAGCCTTTTCTTGGTCTTGTCAAGCAAGATCCTCTCTTTCTCTATTCTTGCCTTGTAAGATTCAATTGCAGTTCGGATGCCCACGAGATCATGTGTTGTCTTGATTAAGTTTAGTTTGGCTTGTTTCAATTCCAATAAGATGAGTCCGGGGGTTGATGATGGGAACATAATCAAACTACTGGTACCACCATCATTAATCCCGGCAACAAGAAGATCCGCGTGCTGGAGCTTTGCTTTTAGTTCCACCACGGTATTCATGGTGGTTTCTAGTTCTTCTAGAGCAGAAAGCGTTTCCCTTTCTTTAAGAATCAAATCACTTTTTAACTGAGCAGCTTGCTTCTCCATTTTGGCAATGTCAACCTCACTGGTAACCTACTTTTATCCAGCCAAGAGCACAAAATGAAAAAAACAAAGATATGACAGAATGTGAGCTTATATGTGAATCTAGAATCAATAGACATTAATATTGGAAACAAGATTAAACTGACCAAAACAAAAGAAAAATCTTCACCCAGTGTTCTCCCATATTTCACTTCGGTACTCTGCTTGGGGTGCAAAATTAGAATATAAAAATGGGCCCATCCCTGAAATTGTAACCCGAAAATTGCACTTTTTGGACCCCTCATTTTGTTAATGTAGACCTCATCTATCATTTATGGAAATCTGACCCCAATTGTTTGCTAAATTAATATGTGGTCTTTTGAGCCTGGGGTTTAAAATGGATTTTAAAAGTGGACACTGGAGGTTCGGGACAGGAACTGCACCATCAATTGCCCGGGACAATCAGCTTGATCCCCATCCTTGAACCATTTCTTTGAAAAATAGACTGAATAGAAAAATGTGAATCAAATCGGCCGTTTGAAGGGGATATGGAACCAGACCGAGACATTCCATTCCCAATCAATGTGAACCACACCGGATCACTATGTGAACAGTCCTCAATTTCAGACCAGACCCAATACCCATTGTCGTGATTCGGTCAGCGGTCGGAAACCGGGCCCCACTTTACGCGGCACCACAATAACATCTGGATTAACAACGGAATTGGGATATTAAAAATTGAGCCCACATTGAATAACTGAGTTTTCCATAAATTTTAAACTTCACTCCCACATTCTACTTAAAAGAACAATTTTTTTTAAAATACTACGGAGTACATATGTTCTCTTCGAATGGCACACATTTTGTCTGAAATCCCTGCAAAATAATCTGTTTATTATCATCCCCTAACATTCACTTTCATCACCCTACTATAAATGTTTAAATTCTTCCTTTTGGAACTTCTGATGACTAAATTTGGAGATAAACATAATGAAGTTTTAAGGGTCCTAAAGAAAATAAAATTAAAGAGTTTTAAAGGGTTGTTTGATGACAAACAGAGCTTAAGGGGTTGTTTGATGGCAAACAGAGTTTATTAGGATCAGTGGTTAACCAAAACAAAAACAACATAAATATAAAAGTTTAAAAACTAAAAAAATTAATCTTGAGTTGATTAAACAAGAAACATTTGAAGGAGAGACTATAAACATACTTAAGCCAGGAACATTTTGAAAGCTAAAGCACAAATAAAAAATGTTAAGTTAGACAAGAGGGATAGATACCTCGGGCTCACGGCCGTACGGGTTGTGTGTGGTGGGCCTCCAGAACCCGATTCCGCCGAATCTGGTGGTAGCCTCTTTAACTGACCCGAACGGAGCAGAAGTGTCCACCACCGACCTAGAAACCGCCGTCTTCTTCTTTTCATGATCGTCTTCATGTTTCGTTCCACCGGCATCACAAGCGGCGGATACATCGACGACATCGCCATTCTGCATTTGAGGATCCATTTGGAGTGAACCGACCCGATAACCCGAATAGACAGAGCGATTGGGGTCAAGCCCCAAGCCACCACAGAATCACGACGATCGGGCAGTAGGGGAGCTCATTTGCGGCGTGTCGTTTGGATGGGTAGGGGAATACTTTTGGACTAATAATAAATAAAGGCTTAATTAATGGACCAAAATCAACATTTATACCGTGATGAAAGGAATTTATATTCTATGAAAAGCATTTTTAGAAATAAATAAAGGTGTTCTAGTCTCATAATATGGAAAGAAAGAATTTAAGAATATAAAGTGTTGAAAATTTGAAATTTCATTATTTAATTAGATGAAGTCAAGTGAACATTTCACTGTCTTTAATTTTAAGAAAATTCCTTATACAGGATTAAACTATAATCAAAGTGCATGTATATGATTGTCATTATATTGTCCCCCCAAACAAGACTTATTCACCCATAATAAAGGAAGTTTTACATGTTTAATAGGATCAAATAAATCATATTTCGTGAATAAAATACATTTACGTAATCCTTTTTGTGTATTTTATCTAAATTTTAGTCCTAATAGAGTAATTTCTATTTAATTTTTCGGGTTTGGGTTTGGATTAGATTGACACAATGGTTATAGAAAAAAATACTATGTTTCAACTTCACACAATTCGATTTAGTTTGAGTTTATAAATTTTAAAAGTATTATGTTTTGATCGATTTATTAATTCAAATAGTTTAGTTTTGTTATTTGGATTGATTCCGGTTTGGTTTAAAATTTTAAATAGGACTTGATAGAAATATCAAAATGAAGTTAGTAAAATATTAGAAAAGTCGTTTGCCTCGAGTGATGGGCATTGACCAAAAAGTGATGTTATTATACTCAGATGATTACTTCGGATTACTTTATACTCACTAATGTTTTTATCAAGGGGAATTTGATTTTATAAAGTGATATTGGACTTAGATAATCTTATTTTGAAAAAACTTTGATTTTGCACCTCAACACATAACATTTTTGTGAAGAAAAATTTCTTAATAGGGTGCAAAGTCGAATTTTTAAGTGAAATAGGGTGCAAAGTCAAAGTTTTTGAAAAATAAGGCGCACAGTTCAGTATTACCCAAAGAGTGAGGTGCAAAGTCAAATTTTCCCTTTTATTAATCGTGACAAAATATATTGAATGAGGCAAACATATTCTTTGATAAGTTTTTAAACGTTGAAGATTTTTGATTGATTTTTTATTTTAACCGAGTGATCAAAATTGACAAAGAAGTGATAAGCAAGTATACGCCATCTTGATTTTTTTACTTACATCATGACTGAAAACATCAAAAAATAGAAAATATCCTTTACAGGATTGGGACTTCTGATTCTAAGAAAGTAATACTCCAATAAATATAGAACCTAAGTAAGGAATAAGTGAATAACTGGTGAGCGAGGTACCAACCTATCATCACTGTACATATAACAAAAAAAGGCAGTGCTGCTCTTACTCAAGCCTAGCGCCACTGCTACTCAAGCCATCGGCGATGATGACGTCGGAGTACTGGCTGCAATAGGTATCATCCAAGTCTGTCCCGGAGGATATCCTTCCGGAGGTTTTGGTCTCCCTCGCCTGTGGGGAAGTTGATTGTTCCCGTCAGCGTTAGCTTCGATCAGGAGTTTTTTTCTCTCTATTTCTTTGTGCCGTTTTTCTGGCTCACAATGGGTTGTGCGAGTTGGAATTGTCGAGGTTTGGGCAACTTGGCCACCGTTCAGGTCCTTAAAGATATTGTATCCACATACCATTCGTCGATCATATTTTTAATGGAGATGCTATGCGAAGGTGACCGTATTGCACAGGTCCGTGGATCGATAGGGTTTCATCACCATTTTTGTGTTGCATGTGACGGAAGAAGTGGCGGATTGGAGCTACTATGGAAGGATGATGTAGACTTTACGATTGTCGGCTCCTTGAGTAACTTCATTGACACAATTGTGGCACTTGGAGGGCAGATTCCGTTGTGGCGAATGACGAACTTCTATGGATTCTCTGAACGACAGAAAAGGCGTGAGTCATGGTCTCTTCTCCAAACCTTGGTCACGGAAAATAATATTCCATGGGCAGTAGTCGGAGACTTTAATGATATTATGCATGAGGATGAGAAGAGGGGGCGCTGCCCCAACCTCCATGGTTGATCTCGGGTTTCCGCAATGCAATATGGGGGAGTTGACTGGTGAATTTCCCTTTTGATGTATACCAATTCACGTGGGAAAGAAGTCGGGGTTCATATGGATGGGTGGAAGAAAAACTGAATCATATTCTTGCTAATGATGATTGTATTCTTTGTATATCAATTTTTGGAGATGCTTGGGCTACATCAATTGTGGCAAGGAGTAGTGACCATCTATGAAAGGATGGTCACTTCTGGAACAATCATTTTCTATTGAATATTGGAAGAGGAGTCTTATTAAAAACGGTGATCCAAGCCATGCCCCAATACTCTATGAATGTATTTCTACTCCCTGTTGAATTATGCAGCGAAATCGAGAGTACTGTGAATGCTTTTTGGTGGAGAGGGCATGCTTTCAAAGGTAAAGGCATACGATGGAAAAACTGGGGTGATCTTTGTGCCCGAAAATCGAGAGGCGGATTGGGTTTTCGAAAGCCCAGAGAATTTAATATTTCCATGCTGGGCAAGCAGGTGTGGCATCTATTAAGGAATCTGTCCTCTCTAGTTGCGGAAATTATGAAGGCCAAAAGTAGTAACGTCCTCGATGCTAATTGTGGGAGTAATCCCTCACTTATTTGGCGAAGCATTGCAGCAACTATTCCGGCAGTTAAGGAGGGAATATGCTTCTAGATTGAAAACGGTGAATTTGTTCGAGTGTGGAAAGATAATTGGCTTATCACTCTTAAAGAGGGACGATGAGCAGAAAATGTGCAACCTGGACTCGATGACATTTGTGTTAGGTCTCTTATGACGGAAGAAGGGACTGACTGGGATTACGATATATTGGTGGACTTGTTTAACAAAGAAGATAGGGACTTGATCACCGATATACCGTTGCGGCCGGGGCAAGCTGGGGACAAAAATGTTTGGATGGCGGAAGCGAAAGGTGTATATTCGATTCAGAGTTGTTACCAGAAATTAATCCGCAATACACAATCGGAGGTGGCTTGGGCTAAAGTGTGAAAACTTGAATTACCGCCAAAGTTAAAAAACTGTTTTTGGCAGGTGTGCTCAGACTGTTTGCCTAGCAAACAACGTCTCGTGCAGCGGAGAGTCCCCGTTTGGTCACTGTGTCCGCTCTGCGGGCAGCAAGAGGAAAGCATCCTTCACATTTTCAGAGATTGTGCTCTAGCAAGAGAGGTGTGGCGCAATAGAGGAGGGAACATGATGAACACGTCGACGACTAGCTTCGGGGACTGGGCTGCGGCAGTAGCTACTAGCAACTCAACGGAGGATTTCACTAGGTTTGTTATCACCTGTTGGAGTCTGTGGAAAGCGAGGAATGATAAAACAGGGAAGAATAAAAATCCCAATTCGAAGGGAGTCCTGGCATGTGGAGATGTTGTACTCGCGAGGTGGTATGAAGCAAACAAGCAATCAATGGTGCACGCTACTCGAGTAGACTACCTAGCAAAGTGGGAATGTCCGGAAGCGGGTTTTATTAAAATAAACGTGGATACTTCTATTCAACCTGCAGGTGATGGGCGAGGTTTGGGACTTGTAGCTCAAGATGAAAATTGTTCTTTTATTGCAGGTAAAGGTGTACACCGAAAGGGATGATTTTCCCCATGTTTGATGGAGGCCATGGCTATCGAAGAGGCGCTTATCTGGGCTCAAAAGTCAGGATGGAGGCAAGTCATAGTGGAATCTGATGCATTATAGGTAGTGCAGAGACTCACGCGGGAGGATGACCTTCACCACAGAGATATTATTTTCATAAATATTAAACATATGATGGCAAGTTTTGCCAATGTACGTGTCCATTATGTGCACCGGCAAACGAATCAAGTAGCCCATATTCTTACTAGGGAAGCATTTTTTGGGTATGATGAGTTTAAATTTTGTCGGGGTACCCCTAGTTTGTATTTCTCATGTATTGACCTTTGATGAGTATTAATGAAGTTATTTGATTCTCAAAAAAAGATTAAGGAATAAACATGGAAATAACCTAGGAAATTAGTAAATTACTTAGTACTACGTAATATTTACTTTGTAGACATTAATTTGCATTTTCATATTATTTTTTCAGATGGATCCCCCCCATTGATTATGTTGAAATTGGATGGTTTATGGTCATCTGACGATACGTTCATGCACTCTCAAAGTTATGGTATTCATGTTCCTCCATATTCTAATTACATATCATTCATTGAAACTATGTGTGTTATCTTGCACCAGTTCAAGCCACATCATTTTTTAGACTATCTTATATGGTGGATGGTTGTCCGCCCCCTGTTGGGATTCATAATGAGGAAACATTCCAATTTTATCTTCGTCTTAAGTTTGTGCAATATGATTTTAAAAAATATTCCTGTGTGTAGAGTTCTGATAGGCACTAGTTGTTAGTGTCTAAGTATACATTTTTATTATTGTTTGTAATGTTTATTTACTAGTATTGTGCAAGTTTGTAGTTGTTAGTTTGCATTTGATTGTAATTGTATTTCTAGCATTTTATTGTGTGTTGTAAGTTGTAGCTAGTTGGGCTTTAATTTTAGGATAAGTTTGGAAGCAAAAAGGATGAAGAAACTTGAGTTTTATGTAAAACCCGGTCGGGTATGGACTTTACCCGGCCGGGTATGAAGTGACAAATGAAATTGCTGCAAACTAGCAAATACTCGGTCAGGTACTCCATACACCCGGTCGGGTATGAAGTGATTTCGGGCAAACGAACGTGCAGAAGAACACAAGAACATGGGAAAAATATTTGATTTGACAAATACCTTGTCGGGTATGGCAAATACCCGGCCGGGTATCCGGCATTAGGTGTTGAAAACACCTATAAATAACCCTATTTTCCTTCACTTTTCATCACCCATTCTTCCATACTCTTAAGCTCAGTTTAGAATAATATTTCTTTTATATTTTTATAGCATGTTTAGTCTCCAAATGAGGAGCTAAACTCCCATTTCTTGGTGTTGCTCTTGAAGCTTGTTGATTATTAAAGTTGTGAGTTATTTTCTTAACTTCTCCCCTTGAATATTAATTATTAGTTCTTTCCTTAATACTATCTCTATATTAATGTTGGGGAGTGTTGCTAAGATGACAATTAGTTAACATCTTGACATTAGTTAGAGTAGTATTTTCTTCCTCTATATTAATGTTGGGGAGTGTTGCTAAGATGACAATTAGTTAACATCTTGATATTAATTATAGTAGGATTCATCTCCTTTAATAATATTCTTCCTTGAATATTAATTAATTTCTATTCATATTTCATATTAATATTTTGAACATTACTTAAAGGATAAACTAGTTTTGTTTAATTTCATATATTAATTATTACTAGAAACGATCGACGAACCGATGGTTAATCGTTGATGGTTTCACAAGTAAGTAACTTCGGTTTATTAATGCACGGTCGTAGTTGATAAACTTAAGAGGGATTAATTTTGTTGGTTAAACCAAAACCGTTGTGTTGAGGTTATCAATCTCAATTGATTTCATCAAGGAGTTAAGAGATTAAATGCTACTATCAAGTCGGTATATGGCGGTGTTCTATACTTGACTAATAGTAAAGGTTATTAATGAACGGTCGTTGTTAATAACTACCCTCGATGAATTGGATATACTCCTCGATTGAGTATTCGAGAGAAACAAAGTTATAGATATAACGATGATCGACTAAAATATATCAACAAGTGGAAAGTAGCAATGCCAAGTTCTTTTATCTTTGAATTAAAACACATATAAGTTGTTCATCTTAGTTTTTATATTTACTAGTTTCATAAAAAGAGAATTATTCCTTTTCCTGTGGATACGAACTCTACTTCACATATACTACGTATTAGTGCTAGTATTGATTGATTTTGACGCACCGTGACAAATTGCTCATCAAATTTGACGCCGTTGCCGGGGAAAGGCAATTAATTTTTTTATATTCTATATATAAAAAATTACATTTATAAAGATTTCTATTTTTCTGAGCTTTGTTGAGTATATGGTAAAAACCAGATCCATAAACCAACTCACCTACCAAACAAACCCCGAAATAGAACGAACTCTCGAGCGGTAGAAAAACAAATTCTCAAGTATCGACTCAGGAGAATCATCAAGTGGTAGCTCTCATTCTAGCGAGTCCGAAGAGCCAATAACTATGGCTCTTGAAACAAGAACATTGAGGGAGCTCACGACTCCGAATATTAACCAACAACCTTTATGTATCACCTTCCCTACTCTTGATGAAGGTGCTACATTTGAGCTCAAATCGGGGCTCATCCATTTACTTCCTTCATTCCATGGTCTACGAGGCGAGGAACCGAACAAACATCTCTCGGAATTCCATATTGTTTGCACAAACATGTTCCCAAATGGAGTCACCGAAGAGCAGATCAAGTTGAGGGCCTTTCCATTCTCCCTCAAGGATAACGCAAAAGATTGGCTATTCTATCTTCCTTCGGGAAGTATAGGTACATGAGCGGCCATGAAGAAAGCTTTCCTCGAAAGGTACTATCCTGCCTCTGTCTCCTCATCTCTCAAAAAGCAAATCAGCAATGTGGAGCAGAAAGATGATGAATCGTTCTACGAATATTTGGAACGATTCAAGAAACTTTGTGCAAGCTGTCCATACCACGGCTATTCGGAGCAAGACCTCATCCTATACTTCTATGATGGTCTTTGTAATGATGATAGACGGATGATCAACACCACATGTGGAGGGGGGATCGTCAACAAAACGCCTTCTCAAGCTATGAATCTTATCTCGGAGTTGGCCGAGAATTCTAGATATTACAATGGGCGGTCCTCAACCCGAAGAGTTGCCGTAGCGGAGTCCACTCCATCATTGGAGAGTCAAGTAGCTAGCTTGACTTCTTTGGTAAAAGATTTTCTGTTAAATCCCAAAAACCAAGAACTCAAGGTCTGTGGCATTTGTGCAACACAAGGGCATCCTACAGATTCATGCCCTTCATTACACGAAGAACAAGTCAACGCCTTGAATTTCCAAGGCCATCAACAAAAGAGGTACGATCCACACTCTAACACTTACAACCCCGGGTGGAGAGATCATCCCAATTTGAGATACGGGAATCCTCAAAAACAACCTTCCCAAGGCCAAACTTCAAGCTCAAATATGTCCACTGAAGACATGATTCGAGAACTTACCATGAGTGTATCAACGATACAACAAAGTGTGGCCCAATTTCAAGAAATGACTAAATCTAGCATCCAAAATTTAAAGAACCAAATGAGCCAAATTTCGAATGTTGTGAGCCGGCTCGAGGCAAAAGATTCGGGTAGACTCCCTTCTCAAACGAAGCAAAACCCAAGACAACATGTTAATGCAATCATGTTGAGGAGCGGTAAGGAGTTACAAGCAAAGGAAGTTGAAGAAGAGAAGGTTGACGAGCACTTTTGTCAAGGTGCGTCAAAATAAATTCAATACTAAACACTTATACGTAGTATAGTGTAGTAGAGTTCGTATCCACAGGGAAAGGTATAATTCTCTTTCTATGAACTTAATGAATAAAAAGGGGGGTTTTGGTTTGAGTGATTTAATTTAATTAAAAACTAAGATGAACAACCTATATGTGTTTAATTCAAGAATAAAAGGGACTTGGCTTTGCTACTTTCCACTTGTTGGTATATTTTAGTCGATCCTTGTTATATCTATAACTTATCCCCTCTCGAATACTCAATCGAGGAGTATCTCCAATTCATCGAGGGTAGTTATTAACAACGACCGTTCATTAATAACCCTTACTATTAATCAAGTATAGAACAACGCCTTATACCGATATAATAGTAGCATTCAATCTTTTTAACTCCTTGATGAAATCAATTGAGATTGATAACCTTAACACAACGGTTTCGGTTTAACCAACAAAATTGATCCCTCTTAAGTCTATTAACCACGACCGTGTATTAATAAACCGAAGTTACTTACTTGTGAAACCACCAACGATTAACCATCGGTTCGTTGATCATTTCTAGTAGTAATTAATGTCGGAACGTTAACTAATCGTCACTTAGCAACCCTCCAACATTAATATAGAATGAGATTAAGGGAAGAATTAATAATCAAGAGAAGAAGTTTAGAATATAACTCACAACTTTAATAATCAACAAGCTTCAAGAGCAAAACCAAGAATGAAAGTTTAGCTCCTCATTTGGAGGCTAAACATAGCTAGAAAAATATAAAGAAATGCTATTCTAAGCTGAGCTAAAGAGATTGGAAGAAGGGATGATTTTTAGAGGAGAAAAAGAGTGCTATTTATAGGTGTTTTTCAACACCTTTGGCCGGGTACCCGACCGGGTATAGGTACATACCCGACCGGGTACCGGTCAAAATCAGATAATCTCCCATGTTTCATTGTTCCAGCACGTTAATTTGTCCCGGGTCAAGTCAGACCCGACCGGGTCAAGTGAGGGACCCGACCGGGTTTGGTCTAAATCAGATTTTTTCCAAATCTTTGTGATCTTCAGCATGTTCTGGTGTTCCGGGTCATATCTGACCCGACCGGGTCAAGTGAGGGACCCGACCGGGTCTTACTTTTTTCTTCTTAGATCCGGTTTTCAACTGACCCGACCGGGTTCAAGGTCTGACCCGGTCGGGTTTTTGTGCTCCTGGGTCTTTTTGTCTTCAGTTTTTCTCCCTTTTTCCTTGCTACAAACTCTATCACTATTCTAAAACTCTGAAAAGAAGGAGAGAACAATTACAAACAAAATAAAACAAGTACTTACAAAGTAACTAAAAGTGATGAAAAATCCACACTCAATCAACATAAAAACATACGTTTATGCACTATAAACTAGTGCATATCAAAGGTTGACAAAGATGAGATTGGCCACAACGAGGAGGAGCCAACAAAAGCTAAATTTCCACCATTGTCCTCATATGAACCACTACCCCCATTCCCCAAAGCACTGAAGGAAACAAGGAAGCTGGAGAAAGATGCTGACATGTATGAGACTTTCGCCAAATGTGAGATAAACATTCCACTCCTTAACTTAATTAAAAGTGTACCCCGTTTTGCTAAATTTTTAAAAGAATTATGCACAATGAAAAGGAAAAGCAAATTGAAGGAAAAAAAAGGTGGAGGTTAGTGAACGTGTCTCGGCGATATTCCAAAAGAAACTTCCCGAGAAATGTAGCGATCCAGGCATGTTCACTATCCTATGCACAATAGGGGACACTTTATTTCCGAGGACCTCGTTGGATTTAGGGGCTTCAATCAATGTTATTCCATATTCATTATAGAAGTCCCTAAACCTTGGCCCAATGCATAAAACTGGGGTAGTAATCCAATTGGCGGATGGTTCTAGCACATACCCAAAAGGCGTCGTAGAGGACGTACTCGTAAAAGTTGAAAACCTGGTTTTTCCTGTTGACTTCTACGTCCTTGAGATGGGCGATGTTGATCAAACAACTCCCATACTTTTGGGTAGACCCTTTTTAAAAACCGCAAAAACTAAAATTGACGTGTCTAGTGGTTCATTAACCTTAGAGTTTGATGACCAAAAAGTAGAATTCAATATCTTTGACTCTACGGGAAAACGAATTAAAGATCAATCTCTTTGTTCTTTAAATGTTTTTGAACCACAAGAACCGAAATTTTTGAAGGAATCTGATAAAATCCCAATTTTTCATGAAGAGGAGAAAATTGAATATAGGAAGTCATCTTTGGCTGGAAGGAATTGTTGAATTGTGACCTAAACCCACCTACAGTTGAGGTGGTGATGAGAACAAAAGTTCGGCCTTACTGGAAAAGGCCGAAAAAGAAAAATGAAACATGGCCAAATAAGGCCTTTGATAATTGAAAAAGGGATGTTCATGATCCTACATAAACCAAAAAATATATATATCGTCGAGCCACGACGTTAAACAAAGCGCTTCTTGGGAGGCAACCCAAGTTTTTATTTTAATTATTTTCATTTGTTTTCAGTTGTGTGTGTGTTAAAATATTTTCTAAAAAAAGGATTTCAAAAAAAATGATTTGGGAGAAAACCCGACCAGGTATGAACAAAACCGGATTGGATATGCTGCACAAAAGACGAATACCCAGGCCGGGTAAAATTTTGAAAAATCAAAAAATAAGATAAAACCCGACCGGGTATGCACAATACCCGACCAGGTATTATCACATTTCCCCCCTGGAGCCTCTGGAACCATTACACATTCGGGTATTACATAAAACCCAACCGGGTAAATGTTCAAATTTTGAAAAAAAAAACTGAAAACCCGACCGGGTAAGACAAGAAACCCGACCGGGTATTTAGCTTTAAAACATTCTGCCGGCCTCTGTTTCGTATACCCATTTGGGTATTACGTATACCCGGCCAGGTATACGGGATTTCTGCAATTTTTAACCCCAATCCCAGATCGACGAACCATCTTCCTCCCCAAAACTTGAGACCTCAAACACCCAAACTCCATTTTTGCTCCTTGAAGCTTCGAATCCACTCTTTTCTTCCATCAAAAACTCAAATTAACACCATAATCTTCCTCTCCACATCATCCTCTCCACTTCTACACCCACAAAACCCACCAAATTCTCCAAAATCCCCATACCCGAAAAAACCCTACCCTCCACCTTCAAAGTCTGAATTTTGAGCAAAAAGCCCCAAGAAAACCCCAATTCTTGCTCTCCCCACCATCCTCTACATCTCCGCACCTTCAAAAACACCCAATTCTCAAAAGTCTGAATTTTCAAACCCTCTAAGCCCAAGCCCGAAATTCCAACCCCAAGTTCAAGCAACGGGAAAACCATGGCTCCAACAAGGACTAGAAGATCTTACCCCTCCAATGCTCAAATTCCAAGGGTTACCAGCTACGAAGACCTCGAGTTCACCTCTCATACTCACCACAAGAACTTCCTCCAACAAATGTAAAGAATGATACAAAATGGACATGGCGGATATGAAACACCTAGAGGAGGCTATGATGGAGGTCATAACAGAGATGAGCACTAGGGACTATGCTCCAACAAGTTCGGGGGGGAGACGATCATGGTATGTTCACAATCATGCTCTACATTCTTGTTTTTACTTAAAAAAACACAAAAAAGAAACAAAATAAAAAAAGCTTGTTAGGTTGAAAACCTAAAAGGGCAACTTAAGCAAAATAAAAGCAAAAAGAAGAGTGAGTTTGTGAGGATAAAAAGAAAAAAATGTGGGAAGCTGGGATGAAAACCCGAAAGGGTACCTAGGCAAAATGAGAGAATGAGAGAAAGTATCTCTTTTACGTTTGCAGGATCCTAAGGGTATAAAAAAAGATGATTTCAATGAAGTTGAAGACCTGCTATTATTCCTGTGTTTTGATCATCAGAACATTTCTATGTTGATTGTCAAAAACACTTGTGGATGATTGTTTATTTTGCTACTATTATGGTGTTAGAAACTTCACGAGCAGGGTTTGATTTACTCAAGACGGGTAAAGGTTCAAGTGCGGGGGTGTTTGATAGGCACTAGTTGTTAGTGTCTAAGTATACATTCTTATTATTGTTTGTAATGTTTATTTACTAGTATTGTGCAAGTTTGTAGTTGTTAGTTTGCATTTGATTGTAATTGTATTTCTAGCATTTTATTGTGTGTTGTAAGATGTATCTAGTTGGGCTTTAAGTTTAGGATAGGTTTGGAAGCAAAAAGGATGAAGAAACTTGAGTTTTATGTAAAACCCGGTCGGGTATGGACTTTACCCGACTGGGTATGAAGTGACAAAGGAAATTGCTGCAAAACTAGCAAATACCCGGTCGGGTATTCCATATACCTGGTCAGGTATGAAGTGATTTCGGGCAAACGAACGTGCAGAAGAATACAAGAACATGGGAAAAAGATTTGATTTGACAAATACCCGGTCGGGTATGGCAAATACCCGGCCGGGTATCCGGCACTAGGTGTTGAAAACACATATAAATAACCTCATTTTCCTTCACTTTTTATCACTCCTTCTTCCATACTCTTAAGCTGAGTTTAGAATAGTATTTCTTTTATATTTTTATAGCATGCTTAGTTTCCAAATGAGGAGCTAAACTCCCATTTCTTGGTGTTGCTCTTGAAGCTTGTTGATTATTAAAGTTGTGAGTTATTTTCTTAACTTCTTCCCTTGAATATTAATTATTAGTTCTTTCCTTAATACTATCTCTATATTAATGTTGGGGAGTGTTGCTAAGATGACAATTAGTTAACATCTTGACATTAGTTAGAGTAGTATTTTCTTCCTCTATATTAATGTTGGGGAGTGTTGCTAAGATGTCAATTAGTTAACATCTTGATATTAATTATAGTAGGATTCATCTCCTTTAATAATATTCTTTCTTGAATATTAATTAATTCCTATTCATATTTCATATTAATATTTTGAACATTACTTAAAGGATCAACTAGTTTTGTTTCATATATTAATTATTACTAGAAACGATCGACGAACCGATGGTTAATCGTTGATGGTTTCACAAGTAAGTAACTTCGGTTTATTAATGCACGGTCGTGGTTGATAAACTTAAGAGGGATTAATTTTGTTGGTTAAACCGAAACCGTTGTGTTGAGGTTATCAATCTTAATTGATTTTATCAAGGAGTTAAGAGATTAAATGCTACTATCAAGTCGGTATATGACGGTGTTCTATACTTGAATAATAGTAAGGGCAATTAATGAACGGTCGTTGTTAATAACTACCCTCGATGAATTGGATATACTCCTCGATTGAGTATTCGAGAGGGACAAAGTTATAGATATAACGATGATCGACTAAAATATATCAACAAGTGGAAAGTAGCAATGCCAAGTTCTTTTATCTTTGAATTAAAACACATATAGGTTGTTCATCTTAGTGTTTAAATTAAATCATTCAATCCCAAAACCCCCCTTTTATTTACTAGTTTCATAAAAAGAGAATTATTCCTTTCCATGTGGATACGAACTCTACTTCACCTATAGTACGCATTAGTGCTAGTATTGAATTTATTTTGACGCACCGTGACAAAGTGCTCGTCAAGTTCATCACTGATCAAGCTGTCCAAGTTGATATTTCTTTACCATCTTATCATTTAGTTGATCATTCTAATTCTTCACATGAATGTCCTTCTTCTTTGACATTTAACTAGTCTGCTTCTTCACCTATCAATTTACCTTAATTAATGGCTTTTGTTAGGAATATTTTATGGTGTCCAATCTAATTAAATATCTTTGTATATGTGTAGTTTTTAGTAAACGTGTAATATGGGCCACAAATGTGTATCACCCCATCAACTTCTTTGTAATCCATAAGTTAGCCCACTTCTCCTATAAAAGGAGGCTAGCTTATGGAAACCCTAAGCATTTTGAGGCTTCGAGAATAGAGGCGAGATAGAGAGAGGGTTTGACGCAGCTCTCCTTCTCAAGGGAGAGCAGCGGCCAGTTCACGGTATACCAGATTTGGTTTTTGATCTCGATCTCTTTCTATCCGCTTCTTCTTTATCTGCTATGGTTTGTTTGATTGTTAAAGAAAAGGGACTAATAATTGGTATCAGAGCAGATGCGTGAAAAAGGTTGAATCTATCTGCGTTTTCCCTATCTAACGAAGAACTGCTCTACTTTTCTTCTATTTTTCTTTTATATAGAAATTTGCTCCTGTAATCTTGTTTGTGAACGAAAATGTGTAAAATCTATACTGTTGGAATCGCCTTTTCAAAACGATTCTACAACATATCTTTGTTTTCAATTTCTGCAATTTTTAAATTTCGAAGATCTCTACATCGAGATCTCGAGATTCTGATTTTACGTGGCTGCAGAAATGATTTCGACATGAAACTGATACAGGAAGAATCTCGACCTTCAGGGCTATTCAGAACAGTTTTCAGATTTCAAAATTCGAAGTTTTCATTTTGCAGGATCTCGACATTTTGAGGATTTCGAAACTTGGGATTTCGAAATTTGGGATCTCGATATTTTTGGGATTTCGATGTTTGAGATTTCGACATTCTGAAAGATTTCCAGAATTTTGGAATTTCTCGATGTTTTGAATCTTTCAAAGTTTGCAGTTTCTTGAAACTCATAATTTGTCGAAGCTTGACATTCTTCGCAGTTCATCGAAGCTTTACATTATAGGATATTTGAACGATTCCCTGCTTATCAAAGTTTTAGAAGTTTTCGATGTTCTGATGTTTTTCAAAGAACAAAATTTTGATATTATGAGGTTTTCGAAACTCCAAAGTTTTCGATGTTCCAAACATTTTGAAATTCTGAAGATTTCAAAGTCTGGAGGTTTGTTTTGCAGGTGGGTTTCTTGATTATTCTTCGAGGCAACCTCGAGATCAAGATCTCGAAGTTTAAACCTCGAGATTGTAATCTCAAAGTTTAAACCTCGAGATTGAAATCTCGAAGTTTAAACCTCGAGATTGTAATCTCGAAGTTTAAAACTCGGGATTGTAATCTCGAATTTTAAAACACGAAATTGTAATCTCGAAGTTTAAACCTCGAGATTGTAATCTCGAAGTTTAAACATCGGGATTGTAATCTCGAAGTTTAAACCTCGGGATTGTAATCTCGAGATTTAAAGCTCGAGATTGTAATCTCGAAGTTTAAACCTCGAGATTGTAATCTCGAGATTTAAACCTCGAGATTCTAATCTCGAAGTTTAAACCTCGAGATTAGGATTTTGAGGTTTTGCCTTAGAATTTGTTTTATTTCCACCTGCTCTTGATATTCAACATCGAGAACCTCAACTTCGAAGAAATTTTTCAAAAACTCAAAATTTTGAGATTTTCAGCGACATCGCACTGTTTTGGCCATAACTTTTGACTTGGTGATCCGATTTAAGCGAATTTTATGTTGTTGGAAAGCTAACAAAAAGATCTACATTTTTATGGAAGGATCCCAAGAGACTTAAGCCACGCGCACACACACGCTCTTCTTGACCAAGATATCATCCGTTTTCCGACAAACATTGTCAATCATCGATGTCAAGGTCAAAACTTAGGCAAATTTGTTCAAATTCTTCCAAAGTCAAACCTAAGGTCAAAGTTTTTCTAAACTACACTATAGAGGTCCGAAAATCGTAGATAATTCAATCAACCTCGCGTCAATGGTCATTCTACAATAATCCACAATTAACTGCTAAAGCCTCCCCTAACTCATCAACATTGTGTGATCCTCAAACGTGCTGAAATTCCAAATGATGAGTTAAGGGAAAACCATCATGTGTGGTACCTGTTCAGATTGCTCCACACACATGGCGGGAATGACGAGCTGTGAGCAATCAATTCTTGCACATTCTGAGGGGGAGTTTCAGTTTTCTCCTCCTGTCGCCTTACACCGACAAAGCAAGGAATCTCTCAAAGGATGCAACATTTTAGGGGGAGTGTTCAATGTTATCCTCCCCGGTGCCTAACAATGACAAAGTATACCGAGTGCTCCAGTTGAGGGGGAGTACAGAGAGAAAATTAATAAGAGAACATGTCCCTACGGCTTAGTAAACCCAACTAAGCTTACCCAAGGGACAAAGCCGAGAGTAAGTGAGTGAGTGAGTGAGTGAACATTATGAGCGTTAGGAAGCAGAAGGCTTGAGTGAGCAAGAAAACAATAATCAATGATGAGTCTGCTACCTCAACTGCCTGGTATGAAGTGAACATTTACTCCTAGCCACTCAAATACTCTAGACTATCCCCATAGGTTCAGGAATAATTTAATCAAATCCCGGGTAGAAGTCACTGCATCTTGTCCAACAGTGCATGCTTAACCCTACCCAAGACCACTCATTTGTCTCCCAACAGACAAGTGTTTAATCATATTTCACGGGGAACCGCATCTCTCATTATTATCTCCTTCCGAGGCAAGTGATACTAACTACAGTGGCCTCAGCCCCATGCCACTGAACTTTCATTGATCACATCGTGTCTAGTTACCTCACTCCCAAATGTTTTGAATTTTCTAGGACACAGACGCACTTTTAGAGTCAGTTGCAGGTCTTCATGACCAGCGAGAACTTCCATAGGGTTCATCTATTACAGATGAAGACCAATGATTGGAAGGAAGTCCTGCTGTTGCAACATTGCTTATCACCAACATTTTCAGGCCATTGCGTTAGAGTTTATCTCTATAGTGATGATAACGAGTGTCTACATGAACTCGGGGGGCTACAAGTTTCTCAATGCTGATCTTTATGATCATGCAAATAACAACCAGAGTGACATCTTTTCGGATGTTTCACAACAACTGGTTGGAAGTCCTGTTAAAGCTTTAATGTTTCTATCATTTTATACCGGTCACACATCCGTGTTTACATTGATGTTGTGATAACGGAACACCTTAGTGTATCCGGTTTTGTCCTTTTAACCTTTTTGTTTGTTTTTCTGTTTTGCTTCTCACAATAAAAGAATAAAGGCATGATGCCCCGATTCATCGAATCGTCATGAGGGGGAGAGTGGTCTACATGCTGTTAAATGTTACCAAATCATTCTCGGACACTTATCTCCTATCAAAAATTTCAACGACTCTCTTCTATCTCTACACCTCAAATGCTATGCTCACACAAGTCAACCATATTTTTCCGCTGTGCCACCGACAAGGTCTCCTCAAACGCATTCATTTCGAATAGTCAAAAAGACTACATTGTGGAGGAGACAAAGGTCACATACTCGAATTCTGAAGAAGATTTCCATGTGCGCCTGCAATTCTTCAAGAACATTCATTCTAAAGGCGCCACCAGACTTCATTCAAGCTGATCAAAAGTTACTTCTGAAGGCAAGGTTTACAAGCAAGCCAAAGGAAGATTCCTCAACCCCCGACATCAAAGCTCAAATTGCCAAGAAGACATCAAAGGGGAGATCGCAAGGATTTCTTCAGAAAGCCT